ATAGTAGAGGTAATACACACAAATATTATATCAGTTTATGTATGTTAAAATTATTATGAAGATGATTGTTAAGAGAAAAATCCTCATGATTATAGGAGAAAAATCAAAAGAGCATTAATGAAGTGTACAAATTCTATTAAAATTAAAGATAATCTCTAATAAACAATGTATGATAAGAATAGAAGACAGAAGAAAATTTCTCTCAACTTCAGCTCAAATTTATCTGAAGATGAACTACTTGAAAATGAGGAGAAGTCAGTAAATGGAGAGAGAGAGAGAGAGTGAGGGAAAGAGGGAGGGGAGGAGGGAGAAGAAGAGTACTACTACATTTCAACTACTACTACTACATTTTTTTTGAATGTTTGTTCTTTCTTCTAGAGATTAAGATAGGTAACTTCTATCAAAAGGAACTAATCAGTTCATGATGTTCTTTTTTTTCTTCATTTTTATCCGTCTCTATTTCTCTTGTTAAACAGAATTTTAGAATTCGATGAACAGTAACATATTCACATTAGATCTAAGTAAACATGCACATAGGATGAACATGCAGAAAAACAAAGAATGAAGAACTAGTTGACTTCCCTAATTTCTATGGTGAAAATCTAAGATTGAAATTTAAAAAAAATTTTTTTGGAATGTTGTTTAATCGTTCTTTTTTTAGTAATAATTAATTACTACTGTTACTAGTACTATTATTACTACCACTACTAATACTACTACTGATATACGATAATTAGTAGTCAATGAGTAATGATAGTAATAATGATAATAAGAATTGTTATCATCATAGAATTTTGTAAAGAAAACTTTCTCATTAATGTGTATATATGTTTCTGGTAGATAAACAGAGGAAATACTAAAATTGGATGATTGATACTTAAGAATAAACAACGATGGATATAATATAATGAAGAAGATGTAATACAAATGAAAGAATATATTAGCAACTATTGGATGAACCACATTCCCTTTTTTATTCTTATGATTACAAAAAAAGGAGAGAGAGGGAGAGGGGGGAAACAATGAACCAAAAGAAAATTTGGTTTAAGTAACAGTATTAATGATAATAATCACAGGTCTCAATGAAAACCACATTTATCCTCATATAAGAAAAATAATTTGATAAACAAACAATGTTGAATAGATTATTTTTGAGAAAGAGATCTCGACTAAAAATCAACGTACAAATATACGTATACATCCCCGCAAGCACACACACATGGGTATAGAAAAATTGAAGCACAGTAATACAGTAAAGCAAATCTACACGCTGAATAGTGTTGGATTGAAGATGAATTTTAACGTTGATGTTGATGATGACACTGACAAGAAACTGTTGTGTCTTTTCGAATTGATCTGTATGCTTAAAGTTGAGATAGAATAATAGAAATCAATTCTTGTTTATTCATGAAATACAAAGAAAATGAAACACAAACATAACTTTTCTATTTAATGAGAAAAATAAAATCCCACAACAAATATTCACTTGTAAACAAGATAAAAATGACCGGTTATTATGGTCTATATCAAATAAACAGATAGACAGATAGAAACAATTACGAAATAAAGAAAAATCAGTGAGAAAACAAAAGTAAAGATGAAAGAATCATTAAATCAAATAACAGATATTTTCAGTGCACAAAAATAAGAAGGGGAAAAAGTAATAATTAAGGATTAAAAAATATAGGCACGCTGCCATAGAAACATACAGACATATGGTCGAAATACTTTGTGTGTGTGTGTGTGTGCGTATGTGTATTAGTGAGTGGTGGAAGCAGACATTTCTCCATACATACAACATACATACAAAAATACGTGAAAAATATGGTACTGTGTGTATAGACTTTTGAGAAAATGTAATTCTTCTTAAATTACTATACCGATAACGACAAGACATATGTATGGGACCGTTGTTGTCAATTAACTGTTACTGTAACCATTATATCATTATATATATATACATATATATATATTTATGTGTATATAATTGAGTATTTTGTAAGTTTTATATCATTTTATAAACAAAAAACAAAATAGGTGAAGTTTTACAGTGTGAATCAATAAGGAATTAGTTTAGATGTAGAGAAAAGAAAAGTATAGAATAATGGTTATTTCGATTTCTTCTTTTTACCATCACGTGACCGTAGTGATTTCATCATCATTTTGAATTCTAAAATGAAAAGAATAGACAAGAAATATAAGTTAAAATAGAAATAACACCCAATTAAGATATTAAATAAGAATAATTAGTTCAATGAAGATGTTATGATTCGTTATTCGCTTGAATGCTATTACTGATGCGTCTTACTCGAACGGAACGAAGGATCAATGATTCAGCGATTCGCTAGCTATTCTGGTTCGTTGTCCCCAACTCTGCTAACTCGATCAAGAAGTCTATGTAAGGTGTAGAAAGTGTATTCTACAGACAAACAGCAGATAACAAGTCAAGTCAAACACACAACTCAAGCGTATTTATACAAATATCTACAATCGATATTGTCATGGAAAATTTCTAAACATTAATCAATAAGTTCATTAATTGACCGTTATTTAACATTTAATCGATAGTTCATCAATTAACCTATTTGCACATTTAATCGATAGGTTCATCAACTGACTGCCATTCAAATATTTAATCGATCAGTTCATCAATTGATCCCAATACAAATATTTAAACATTTAATCGATAAGTTGATCGATGCGATAACATTTAAAAATATGAGTTTGGGGATCTATCGTCCCCAACAGAAGAATTCTCCCCTTTTTAGGTGAATTCATTTTCAAAACTGTACAATCCTTTCCCTAATGATAATTTCTCTATCTATCTTTTGATGAATACTTAAGCCATTGATAATCAAACGATTATTAAACTTTTTGTTGTGCCGGAAAAACAAAAATATTGATCACTTGTACTCGGAGCAAGGGATCACGGCAATTCCCGTGATCTGAAAGTAAGAACACAAGACTGGTATAAGTGATGATTTATTAGCCCCAAACACTATGACAACGACGAATAAAAAATAGTCTAAAATACACTGGTTTATATATTGATTGTACACCCATTTTGATTAATAATTAGGGTGAAATCACATATTTAGTTATAACAAATCACTTACTGAGGATAGTTCATGTCAAGTGAATGCAAGAATATCGTATATTATACAAAAGAAAATATCATACTGGGAAAACAAATCAAATACTACACCGAATAATGATCCTCACGTTGAATCAAAACGGATGTTGAATAAAACTCATAATGAGTAATTCAATCGAAAATTGACTTTTCTTTCCATCATATCAAGTAAGAATTAATCTACTGGGTATAACTCGGGTCCTAACACTTTAAAATTTAATACCTTTGTTTATTTAACCTCACTGTCATTATGTCTAACAGAAGTTTATTTTCAGTATTATTATCATCCTGTAAAAATAAGTATATATGTATATATATATTTGCAATTGCACAGCTTTGAAAATGAATTCAGTTGACTCATGATCTCAACTGTTGAAATTACTACAATCTCCACAAAACCCTTTCTGAAACTAATCAAAATATGACCACTTGTGACTGGCTCCAAGATATTTTTCCTGGAGCTCTAGTGACAAGCAGTGGAGTTCAACCGAGTCAGTTGTGAGGTAGTAACTCACTGATGACAATGGTGAATGTGTAGCTCAATTTCGTGGATTAATTGAAGTCAGACATTAACACCGTTGGATGCCAGCCAGCTCAATGGTCTAGTTGGTTAAGCGCCTGGCGCGAGACTAATAGATCCTGGGTTCGAATCCCACGAAGCGAGGTCGTGGATACGCACTGTCACACAGGAGTCCCGCAATAGGAAGAAACGGCTGTCCAATGCTTCCAGGTTTTCCATGGTGGTCTAGCTTCAATTGACTCATGATCTCAACTGCTGAAAAGAGAACTCTTTGCTGAATTAATCTTTCTTATTTAAAGAAAATAAGTGATAGCAATAATGTAAGATAATATGGTCTCTCATGATTATTTGAGGTAGTAATGTTTATGAGAACACGCTAGAGAACCATTGAAAGATATAGAGTGTATTAAAGGACCATTAAGATGATTTAGTCTGGGATTCAACGGTGCATACACTTGTAATCTAATATGAGATTGGATTCCGTTCAGTTTTGTGGCAAGAACAGTACTATTTAAACAGTGACAGATAATTTACGTTTTCTAAGTTCAGACGATTTGTAGTAAGGTTTTCTGGAGATAATAGAATTTTCGTAATTTTCGAATTTCGAACTGATCCTATATAAAGTAATATCGAAAACCTGTGGGCACTAGGTGGATGTCTCGTCCTCGTATGAGATAATTATCCACCCCAGTCGTCGATGCGTACTACTAAGAATTCACTTACGAGGACAGAAAGGCCATATAATGCTTCCGGGTTCTCAATGGTGGTCTTTTAGTGAACGAAGATTTGGTGGGGAAAACCAATCTATCATTTTTAAGCAAATCACACAATGGATTTGTAAAATATGCTAATCATACATTGAATACGTTATTTGCACATTTTCCTTAATCTTTTCTTTACATACTCCATTGTTTTACCAATCCTGGTGTCATTTGGATTTCTCTCTGCTTTGCTTCTTCTCTTTATTTCAATCTTCTGCTGGTAAGCGCTGCACTTTCGTCTCAGAATCTCAATCGAAATTCCCTGGAAGTCATTCAGGTTCTTATTTTGTTAAGTGAAGAAACAAAATATTTATTCTACTGCGTATTTAGCAATCTTATTATCGATTATCAGATTAATTAGGGGATTATATCAGCAATTCGATCTCGTGAGTAACAATTATCACTCTGCTATATTGTATTACTGCATCATTAACCATTGATCAGTATTCTAGCAATTCACTTCATAAATCGAAAATTCTTATTATTAGGTTTTTGTGGAGGTAATTGAATTCCATAGTTTACATCACGAACTGATCTTAGCTAGAAAGAGAACCACTGAAAACAAAGAAGGACTGGATAAGATCTATTTAAAACAAGAAATGAATTGATCTATTTATGTACGACTGTCAACCGATCTTCAATGAGGAATTTATAGGAACATTGATTCTACTTAATAAAAAAAACTAGAGTGATTGTCATCATCATCATCACCATCATTCTTATATTCTTCCAAAAGATGATTGGATGGAATATCTTCAGCTCTTTCTGAACTTCTTAGAGATTCCTCGAATACACCCGTGAACTATCCTCACATAATATTATTAACAACAAAAACAAACTCTTGAGAGAAAAAAAAGAGTCAAATTTACTAATTTACCTCTAAAATCAATTGATCCATTTTTATCTAAGTCAGCTTCTTTAATCATTTGACGTACTTCATCATCAGTGACTGCTTCACCCAAAAAATGCATTGTTTGTTTAATTTCACTAAAATCAATGACTGAATCACCATTCTGATCAAATACCTAAGAGAAAAATAAATGCATATACTGACAATAATGATAATAAGTTAATAATTGAGTGAAGTTAGACAATAACACCGTTGGATGCCGCCCAGCTCAGTGGTTTCATGGTTAAGCGCTCACGCGCGAGACTGATAGGTTCTGGGTTCGAATACTGCGAAGCGGGGTCGTGGATGAGCACTACCGAGAAGTTCCACAATAGGACGACGAAACGGCCTTCTAATGCTTCAAGGTTTTCTATGGTGGTCTGGCTTCAATTAACTCACGATCTCAACTATTGAAATTACTACAATTTCCACAAAAACCCGTTCTGAGAATAATAATAATAACAGTTAATTAAAAAATTTAGATATATAACTAGTTTTCACATTCAGCTGAATGGGTATTTTCATCATAGATTAATTTGAATTAGGACAGAATCGAAAGTTTAGGAACAGTAAACAACTATTTCATTCACAACCAATCAGTTATATGCCAATATTGAACCTGCCATATATATACAACCATCTAAACTGTCATATCATATTAACATAGTGAAATCAAATTATGAAGAAAAATTCCAGAGTACTAGACGTAAAACAATACTATAAAATTTCGGAATTCAGGATCTAATGAAAGACAAAGACGAGTAAACATCTGCACTATAGTGATAAACTTTGTGTCATATCGCTTAGCCTCTTCTACTAATTGTCACAATAATTTTGAGGACCCAAACCACATGACATGCATCTGCCAACAAATAACTCAGACCAACAGTCAGTAAATCCCTGGACTAATGTCACGTTTTGGATCATTTGTTTCTAACTTTCTTCCAACTCCCTAACACATTAGTAAATATCACTTGTCTAGTGAGTACAGATAGCCACTAGCTTGTGAAATGAAATAAACGAATAGCATAATGGCGGTTCAAGCGAACGGTGCTGGGTTCGAGTCCCAGAAACAAACACCAACACTAGGATACAGGTTCATCTAGAAGACAAGTCCCAAATAAGACGAAACGTTCGTTCTAGGTACCACTGTTATCTACCATCCATTTCTGCTTTAAAAAAACGATTACTTAATCTTTAGAGAAGAAACTTAATCAACATATTTAATCTTTAACATATTCCTTGTTCAGTTGACCGTAATGAACATATTTCAGTATAAGAAGAGAACAAGAATATTGTCCCATATGTATATAATGTAATTTTTATGAATAAAAAGAAAAGTGCACAGAAGTACGGTAAAAATGGTAACAAATATCCAAGAACAAGTGGTAAATATAAACCAGTATTGACAGATTTGTCATTTTTATTAATTAATTTATTCATTCATTTATTATACTGGTCCATAAAATTTATTTTATTAGTTCATGTGGTTGCTATGGCGATTTCTGGGCATAAATTACAAAGGGAGAATCACTGAAAGTAAGAAATGGGAAGTACATTGGAGGTTTATTGAGATCATTTAATTTCACAGTTTACATTAAGGACTGATCTTAGTTAAACAACTTAAAGAAGACCAGAAAGCACTGGATAAAGATTTAATTCTAGTAGAAAAGGAATTCTGACCAACGAAGTTAAACTATACAGAATGTGAGACAGATGCCCACCAATGACATTGAGAGATAGTTGCGTAATATTGTGAATCAATTGACGTTATAAGAATATAAACCATTGGTTACCAGCTAAGCAGTCTTAGGGTCAAGAACTTATTGTGAGACTTAAGAGGCCAAGTTTTGATCCTCTATGTCGCTGTCGTGAATGAGGAATGTCATTGAGAAGCCTCATGCTAGGATGAAACAGCTGTCCAATACTTCCTGCTTTTCAGTGATTGTTTGATTGGAATTAGTCCGCAATATAAAACATGAGATTCTGTAGTTATTTAATAATTTATAAAAGAGAAGCGAACAATTTGTATTGTGTTGTAATATGAACAGCTGAAGAGTTCATCATCATTATCTACAAATTAGTTACATAACAAGAAGACAAAGATTATCAGAACTATATGATGATATATTGGTGTAATAAACATTTCGAACAATCTGATCACACATACACCTTTACAATTGATTGATCACTGAATGGTGATCAATGTCATGTGTGTCAAGTACTTCTTAGTGCAGATCGAATCCTATCGACCAAGTTGCAATGTCGCCACTAGTCTAGGTGACTCGACACTGCGTGCACTATGTTGCGATAAGATGGTGGTTGGAGGTAGTCAACAGGAAACCCTGGACGTGGGTTTCGTGCTACTTGGCACTCTAGTGAAGCTGGGTGACACGGGGTCGAATCCGTCAGCGAGCACCAGTTCCCTCAAGATTACAGGTACATCTTGCTGACGAGTGCCAAATAGCACGAAATTCAGGTCCAGGGTTTCCTGTCAACCACCACAAACCACCATCTAGACACATACACCTTGTTAAGAACATTGATATAGGCGAAAATAAAAGGTCAACTAGACTAGGAATGAGAGGTAAAAGCAAACAAAGATAATAGAGAGAATAGTATTTTTTTTAAAAAAACAATGTGAAAACTCATCACGCTGAATAATAAACTAATATTACCAGGAAGAATGTATTTGTAACATCTTAGCGAATGAATTTGATGTAAATGTAATGTTTCGCCTGGCAATCTGGTCCAAGCTTTTTCAAAGAAATTTAATCAAGTATACATCAGATTATCAGGTGAAACGTTGGATTTACTTCAAATTCATTCTCTGAGATTTTACAAATACATTCTTCCTCCTTAATATCTCACATCAACTCGGCGACCAAATATTGTGAAAGTATTCGATCAAATTTAGACGAAAGTCCTTATAATATTGCCAGGGTAGGTTTAACTCAAAGCAACTGTCAACCAACACAAAGGTCAGGATTTTCAATACAAATGTCAAGACAGTTCTACTATATGGGGCAGAAACCTGGAGAACTACGAAAGCCATCATTCAGAAAATACAGGTGTTTATTAACAATTGTCTACGCAAAATACTTCAAATCCATTGGCCGGACACTATTAGCAACAACGCACTTTGGGAGAGAACAAACCAAATCCCAGCGGAGGAGGAAATCAGGAAGAAGCGCTGGAACTGGATGGGACACACATTGAGGAAAGCACCCATCTGCGTCACAAGACAAGCTCTCACATGGAATCCTCAAGGCCAAAGGAAAAGAGGAAGACCAAAGAACACATTACGCCGAGAAATGGAGATAGACATGAGAAAAATGAACAAGAATTGGATGGAACTAGAAAAGAAGGCCCAGGACAGAGTGGGTTGGAGAATGCTGGTCAGCGGCCTATGCTCCACTGGGAGTAACAGGCTTAAGTAAGTAAGTAAGTAAGTAAGTAAGGGTAGGTTTAAGGTGAGAATAAACTGTGTCTAGTTCACCTTTTGGTTTTTTCATATATGGAAATGTTTCTAACACGTATATGTATGATTAGATTGTTCGAAACGTGTTGCGCTAACATAGTTCTGATAATCTTCATCTTATTACATTACCCAAAGTAATATCAGTTATTCATGTATATAGTTGTAGACGCATTTACACATACATACAGGTCTATGCTTTTTCAATGAATGGAATGAATAATCCCATTCCTCAACCCACCCCCAAATTTAGTTTATCCCTATTCTGATCATAAAAAGATAATAAAATGCTGATTGTCACAGTCAAATACTGTGGGGGTGAGATGGTACGAGATGCACAATTTTATTGTTTGTGCTTTTTCTTTATCCCTCTCCCCTCTTTATTGCTCACGTCGATCATTTGTATTAATCATTGTGTAGTACAAGTCAGTATGAAGTAAAATTAAGCGCAAATAAAACAATGGAGTGAAATGATTTTACAATGATATGTAATGTGTACCATTACATTCAGATACACACACAAGTGCTTGTGAAGCATTATTATTATTACTTTCCAGATAGAAAGAAGACGAACTACAGAGAAAAAGTGCTAATCAATGAGGAATCTATTATAATTAAAAAGAATGGAACCAAATAAGTTATATATATTGGAAACAGTTCAAAAGTTCCTGTATCTGGGTTGTTAAGGAAGTGCTGTTGGTGAGATGGCAGATCAAATCAATAGAGAAGGTTAGGCTTGGCCACTTTTAGTGTTGTTGTGATGTTAGCCTGTGTTTAGTAGGTTGGGTTTACAACGTGTCGGTAAGAGCAGTTCGGGAAATTCATGTTTGATTATTATTGTCTCCAAATTATTGCTCATATTGTGTCAACATTATGTCAGTGATGTTGAGGCTCCGCAATGTGTGCTCGGGAAAAGTAAAGATAATCCAGTCAATGTCATCATCTACAAACCGAGAATTCAGTAGTTTCATTGTGGCTTACTAAAGTAAAAGTAGCAACTGTTACACCTTGGATTATTTGATGTAACAGGAAGTTGTATACAAGTGAATTTTGTCTATTCATTACAATTCCCTGGTTGGAGTTCAATAGATGGTGCGTTTTAGTGCCTTATGATGCCATCACATATGGCTAAGCATAGAGTCTAACGCTGATCATCGTTTATTTTAGGGAGGGAACCTCATATATATATGCACAACGACCGGCCAAAGCTTTGGTACTTCTCGTTGGAACATTAAAGAAAGAAATTAGACAAGATAAAAAGCAAAGTGGTCATAAAGACAATAATAATAGTTATAAACAGAACAGATGGTTTGTGGCTGGCAGTGGAATCCAGGATGTGAGTTTTATACTATTTAGGACTCATTTAACTGAATCTAACTTACACATCTTAGTGCTGATATTCACATCAGAACTGAAACCCAGCACATTTCACTTTAATCCAAACTCTATCTAATAGTAATATAAATTATAGTACTTTTCGGACATGTTAAAAAACCATTTGGACTAAGTAGTCCAGTGGACAATACTTTGGTATTTGAGAAGAGAAAATTATTGACTTCGGGTCCTTGTAAGAAAATCAAAACTAGGATATATTTATATCCAATTAGTAAGTTTTAAATTGGACAAAACGCATGTCCTGAATTCCACTGTTAAACAAAAGTCTTCTATTCTACAAAAATTGTGACAGAATGGTCACAAGATACACAACAAAGATTTATCAAAATTTACTTATGAATATCAACAATGTGATAGTTCAAACCACTATTATTAATTATATATATTGCATTACATAATTTTTCAAACAAATCGGTAATTGGTAATATTTTGCTTTGTAATCTTGTACTCTATGTTGTTGGTTTATTAAAATAAAAGTTTAATAATTGAGATCATGAGTCAGTTGAAACTAGCCCTCCATGGAAAACCTGAAAGCACTGGATGGTTGTTTCGTTCTAGTATGTGACTTAGCAGTGCGCATTCACGATCCCCCCCCAGCGCGAGATTCGAATCTAGCACCTATCGATCTTCAGTGCGAGCGCTTAACCACCAGACCACTGAGCTGGCCGGCATCCAACGGTGATAATGTCTGACTTCAACTAATCCACGAAATTGAGCGACACATTCACCATTGTCATCAGTGAGTTACTACCTCACAACTGACCCGGTCCAACTCCACTGGTCGCGGCTTCTAGCTAGAACTCCAGGAAATACCTCTTGAAGCCATTCAATGCTTGCAGGTTCTCCACGGTGGTCTAGCTTCAATTAACTCATGATCTCAACTATTAAAATTACTATAATACTCACAAAACCCCTTCTGACACTAAAATAAAATTGTTTGTAAAAATAACAATAATATTCTTGAGAAATCAGAGAACAGATAAACGAGTACTAAATCAATATGTCAAACACAAAATATACACCATAATTACGTTTTTTCCACTTCAACCCAATCTAATAATAATAAAACTATTACTCAGTCAGTCTTATGCAACGTAGAACTTGGTACATGTATGTATCGGTTCAAATTACCATACCTTAATATTAGCACAGAGAGATGAAATTACAAAGACGAATTTCAGAGGAGTATAAGTAGTAATAAGCATCACTGGGAACAGAAAATATTAGTCACAGACGATATGCTTAATAAAGAATGAATTCATGGAATTAAAAAAAAAATGCAAAAGAGAATTACGATATTGTAGATCTAAGGGAAAGCGAAAGTTAAATGAACATGTACCATTGTGAATGATTATGAACAAGGTCACAAAACGTTGTTTTCGTTCTCAAGTTACAATAATCATGTATACCTCAACTAGATAATCTGTACCCATAAACTCGGCTCAATTCAATAGTCTAAAACTTCATGAATGGATACTACATACTTATTAGCTTGGTAACTTCTTAGCTTTCTTCCAACCTATTCATCAACATCAAACTTGATCATGTATCCAGGTGACTACTGAGAAAAAAAATCTATACTATAGATTATTCAAAATATAAGTTGAATGAACTACAGAACAAGTTGATGAACTATATTCATTGCTTTAAATTTCAGCTTCCTTTCTTCTTCTTTTGTCTTCATTAGAAAATCTATTCACGTTGATTGATAATTAAAGATAAAGAGTATAAACAATTAAATTAATTGATTTATATTTGAAGGATGATTATGGAAAATTCTAAATTAGATATTAAGATAAAGAAAATCGATTGGAACTAGGGAAGATGTTATAATTTTTGACCGCCGATTAGAGAGCAGTGACTTATCGATCGGATCAAAGACGCGTAAAACACGTGCGAGAAGTCTAGAGTCTTGATTGGCCTTGCTTTCCGCCTAGCTCAGCCAGTTAAGTCCAGAACATCAGTTTCAGCCTCTGCAATATGAATCATTGTATTAAAAAAACATACAGAGTTTATACACCAATCAAACAGACCACAACGTACTAATAAAATATGAAACAACATGTGTACAAGAATTAGCCAGATGTGGATGTGAATAAGGGAGGTAGTAACTAACATACAGGGTATAACTCAAGAATGGTAAGACGTATAATAATGGTTTATGGGTCAAAATAAAGCTTATAATAAGAAGAATATGAATAGTTTAGCTACTTAGTAATTATACAATAGAAATATACGTTTAGTATTCGTCCATCAATAGATCACAAAAGTTACCATTCATTATGTTTATCTGGACATAACAGAAGTATTTTAGTAATTATATATCCCAATTATAAATTCAAAAAGGGTGTACCTAAAAATTTATAATGTATTAAGTAATGTAAAGGTGTGGTGTGGGTTACTTATATCCGTATCAGTAGTATGTAACGGTGGTCAGGTATAGAATGTATTTCAGTAGAAGATCGAGAAGGAAGGAACGGAAACGGAAAGCAATTAGTATGAAAGTATATGAACAATGAAATATGAGACAATGGATTGATATTTGCAAAAGGAACAGTCAATTTTGAGACGATGGATTGATATTTTGCAAATTATTTATTTACTATATGGTTCTCAGATTTTATTCAGATACTCTGTAATTCTGTGTCAAGTACATTCGATTGTCCCCACCCGTGTTCTTGTTCACTATAGAATGAGTATTTGGTGAAAATGCAGAATTGGTAGGACATTCCATTCAACAAGTAAATGAAAGATAATGATACTTAACATTAAATAGTTCATTTATAAAGCAAAGTATATGAATTGAATTTATAGTATACAATCAAGATTACACATGAGTCTTTGAGAAACTACATCTCATTTTCATCATTGTGTATACAATGAGCCTTTATTTGTCGAGCAGTACATTACTACTAAGTCTACATACAAAATGGAATAAATTCTTAATCTATACTTTTTTAATGAATACTTGTTAGATCATGTATTTGTGGTAAAAATATTCAGTATAGGATTTTGTGCAGATTATAGAATTTCCACAGGTTTAAAATCATGAACTGATCTTAAATAGACCACTATTGAAATCCTGAAGGTATTGGATAATCGTTCCGTCCTTGAATGCAATCCAGTAGTGAGCATCTACCACTTCGTATCCATGATTTCAACCTTGAGTGCTGTCAGAGGTATGAGGGCGGTTATCACTTCCCGGTTCCCCACACCATGGAAAGGCTCCTCTGGAGTTGCCTGGAAAGGAAATTGGATTAGAGGTGGTCTTAGTGACCTGAGAGTGTGGCCGCAGTGCCAAAGGGACAACTGCTTGAGGTCGGTCACACACGACACTTTTATGAGTGATTTTTGTGTTAGCTCCGTATTTGTTGAGACCTTACCGCCGGAGACGGATATCCGTGGGATAAGGCGAGCTGTGCATTTTCACGATCGACCTTTTCTAACCCCACCCCACCTTGTGGGAAGGCAGCATCGCTGTCATGTCGGTTGTCTGAAGGAAACACCTAACCGCTGTCACACCTCTGTACAGTCAGCAGTACGACTTCGCCTTCGGACGTTGGGTTTGTTGCTTTTGGTCTTACCACTCTTTAACCGACCTGTCTGACATGGTAGGACCTTGAGGAACGGTTGTTGCGGCCAGTATAGCTCGGTTGCTTCATCACGATAGGCAAGCCCGACTACCACGTCAAGGTAGCAACAACGATCGGGATGACCTCAACCATGCCGCGTGAAACAGTTATTCACCGCAGGCAATGGAAGATGGTCACGTAATATCTTGAATTGGCTGAAGTTAGGTATTAACATCTTCTGAGTGCCATTTCAGTAATTTAGGGGTTCATACGCGAGACAGAAGGTTCTGGGTTCGATTCTTCGATACGCACTGATAAGTCCCATACTAAGAAGAAACAGTCATTCAGTGCTTCCAGAATTTCGTTGATCTAACTAAGATCAGTTTGTGATTTAAAATCTAAGAACGTTTAAATCAGTTCGGTGTATTCCACTGAAGTATATCAAAAAGATATTACATCATAGTAAACAATTACTCACGTTAAAAGCTTCACGAAGTTCATCATCAGAAGATTTCGGTCGTTGATTTTGAGAATACCTTCGCATCATTCTTAAGAACTCGTCAAATTCAACTGTACCATTCCCTGCAAAATTGGATAAATAATAATAGATGTGATAAATGATGATTTGAAACATTAAATAAGTGTATATTCCCAATATTTATAACATTTACATAATTCTATGTTAGTTATATAAGCATTTATTTCGGGTTTCATACTTGTCAGGAAGACTACAATAAATTTTCGTGTTTATTGCATGAGAGCTAATAAATTGAATCAAGTGAATAGAATAAAGTAAGGCGTGAGTATTGTATTTGCAAACAAACCGTTACAATTATTAACTATTTCGTGATTTAAAAACACACACACACAACTACGATGTTTACAGCGGATGTATCGTTGAGATTAAGAACTGATCTAAGTTAGACAAACATTAAACATCTGAAAGTAACAGGCAACAGTTTCGTTCTAGTATGGGACTCCTCAGCAGTGCACATTCACGACTCCGTACACGGCACGAGAACCCAGGACCTTCAGTCCCATGTGCAAACGGTTAATATTTAGACCATTGACTTGGTGTCCGACGGTGTTAGTGTTTAACTTCAACCAATCCATGATACTGAGCGACCATATTTCACTGCCTTAGGTGGATAACTGTCGCATACCCAACACGGTTCAATTTCACTGGTCACGGCTTCTCATTAGGACTCCGAGAATAACTTCTCAAACTTAGTCACTAATGAGTACATATCTAGTCCTTAAAAAATGCTGATTGGATCCTATCGATCAAGTTGCAATGCATTTACTAAATAACTAGATAGACATAATATTGGTTACGACGCAACAGTAAAGACTTCACCCCTATTAGGAATTAATCACAGTCCGAATACATCAGTGGAAACGTCTCAGATTGTGAGACCAAATGATAGTAGTTCAATTCTTCAAATAGCATAAGTTGCCTCAAGTTTATAGGCATCTCCAACTGACTAGTGCCAGCTAGCATGATACCTGGTTGAGACAAAGTTTCCAACCACTTAAACTATTCGATTGAAAGAAATACTGTACGGCTTTCACAGAACTCAGTATTTCGAGGTATGATAATCATTTATTATTACCAATTAGATAAAATTCCAACAGACTGTACTTTAAGGTACTTCTTATTTTACTAGTGTCAACATCCCGTTTTTTCCTTACAGATTAGAAAATAATTTCCTTTATGCTCTATGAGATTCATATTGATCTTATGATCTTAGTCCTGTTTAAAAGAATAACATTAAATTATTCAGAAGTGAAAATATCATGTTTTGTGTCATCTTACACAACCATATAGAATATGTTCATTTTTATTGTTATCACCTATTAACCATACTTTTGATAATTCATTGAAGCATGCTAAAGTCAACCAGTCATAATCAATGTAAAACTTGCAATAACTGCGCGTTTCTCGACGTTTTCATACTTCATTAACATAACGAGTTGACATAAACAAGGTAAATAGTCAAACGAATTAAATTTTCCAGTAAAAACGCTAATAAAAAATTAATGGTTAAAGTCATGAGTTAATTGAAGCTAGACCACCATAGAAAACCTGGGAGCACTGTATGGCCGATTTTTTCCTACTGTGGGACTACTCCGTGACAGTGCGCATCCACGATCCTGCCATGCGAGGTTTGAACCCAGGGCCTATCAGTCTCGTTTAACCACTAGACCATTGAGCCGGAATCCAACGGTGTTAATGTCTGACTCCAACCACTTCACAAGGTTGCCCGATCGTCTTCAGTGAGTTACAAACTCAAAACAGACGCAGTTGAACTCCACTGATCACGGCTTCTAAGTTTTCCATGGTTGTCTAGCTTCAATTGATTCATGAGTTCAACTGTTAAATTACTATAATATCCACAAAACACCTCTCTGATTATGATGCTAATAAAAAAGACTGAATTTCGAGAATACAGAATAAAAAGGTATGTATGAAAGAATAGTAAAATCGAAGATTTAGAGTAAGACAACAGGTGAATACACTTGTGTCAATGTGGCTAATTTTGAGCTATCTTACTCAAAATCTTCAACCACTGATAGCTATTATTGCTCAGAAAGCAACCACATAATGTGTATCTACTAACACAAGGTTTATACCGATTGTCGTCCGTTCCATCGACTAGTATCATATTTTGGCTTTTTTTTGTTGTTGATAGCTTTCTCCTAACCTACATAGAGCATTTAATTAAAAAAAGGATACTAACCATTGTAGTAATGATTATGTTGGTATACGTTATTCTTTCATTTTAATTAAAGTTAAGAGAATAATAATATTACAATGTTAAGGAGAACACAATAGTTTCTTTGTTTTCTCTCTTATATAATGTTAAACTTATTATAGAGTAGAACATGTAACAAGCATCATTTTTATCCTTAGGATATATGGTGTTATTCAATTAGATTTAGGATAACATAGAACTCTATGTTATCAGTACATGTGTGTGTTCTCCTTCATTCACATTGAATTTTAACTTGTTTCATTGAGTACAACCTAAAAACGAAATATACTTTAGTGATTGAATAACTATCTTAATTATTTCATTTAGAAAACCAGTTAATTAAATAATGTATAGAACTTGAAAGAATTTTCTTAATTACTACTATTTGTAGATTTCGTTTAGTCTGATCTAGTTTGTGAATAAATCAGTGAACTGCAAGCAACATAAATCATGGATACCTATGTGTATCAGTTCAAATCGACAGACTGTGATATATGCTACTTATTTCAACAGGCATAAGTAGTATGTAACACCAATCAAAAGTGAAATGTCTGTCAAAAGAAGGTTGAGAAGATTGAACTAAAGAAAATAGAAAAGGAAACATAAAGGAATTGATAATTGGAAGACTCATGAAGGATGTAAAAGACCATTGAAAGAAGGTGTACAAATGAAGGTATTCAATGTATGGTTTTCATATTTTATGAAGATATTCTGTAGTTTTATATTAAACAATTAATTGAATCTCCCCATCAAGTTTTCATTCACTACAATATGACACAATAGCTCAACGGATAAAATTATCAAAATCAATTCCAGGATATTATAACTAGTAACAATATTGGTGGTAGTACAAATATTTAAGAATAGACAATAAGACACAAGAGGAAAGAATAAATTCGTCAAATAGAAAAGTATAAAATAATTTCAAAACTCAAGATCTAAGAGAAGAAAAAAAGTGAATCCATTTGTGCTATTGTGAATGATTCTTAGATGTATCCTTAACCATTTGGTTACAACATTCCATTTTTAAACAAAGTACATATGTTAATACTATTCGAACACTAATTCTTACAATATGAATATTTCAAATATAGTTCAAAGATAAGATGGTGGTTGAAGATAGTCAACAGGAAAGCTTGGATCTGGGTTTCGTGCTGTTTGGCACTTGTTAGTAAAGTGTACCTGTAATCTTGAGGGAGCTGGTGCTCGCTGATGGATTCCATCCCGTTTCACCTAGCGTCACAGTCAAAGACATTACTACTGAACTATCCGAACCACGACTAAGCTCCTGTAAGACTGAGCAATATTCACAATTGATTGATCACTGGGTAGTGATCAATGTCGTGTATGTTGAAAGATCAATGCGAAATGTAAACATAGATCCACTACCAAAAAGAAAAACGAAGTATTAAATGTCACGAAGTCGATAGACTACGCAGATAATAAAGAAAAAAGAGAAGAATAACACAACACACATATTGAAATGTCTTGAAATGTTAATGAAATATTTTCCCTAATTAGGTACAGAAAAAAGAAAAGAAACAGGTAGAGATGCGGTGGTGATAATAACATAAGTAGTATGTTGCATTAAAAATAGATAGAATTGTATAAATTATGAAAAAAATGATGTTTTATATCATTTTCTTATATCATCCTATCTGATACAGTATAGAGAGTAGAAAAATAGATGAAGAAAATAACTATTCAACGTTTTTTTTGAAGAATAACTTATTGACTAGTTTGATATTCACATGATCTTGAACACGTTCATGAACCATAGTATAGGAAATAGACTTTTAAGAAGAAACAAGACTCAGATTTGAAGAAAACACTATGAAATCAGGCAAGATCTGATGATGGGGTTGTGAATGTACGATGAGGCGTTCTATATTGGGACGAAATAGCTGTCTACTGATTTTGGTTCTAGGTTTTTAATGGTTGTTTAATTTAGATCTTAGTAGAACAGATCTATTGAAGACTAAATTGATTAGTTTTTATTATTGTTAATGTATAGAAGATCAATTTCTTTCGAAATATAATTGACACCAATAAAGAAGGCAAAGATCAGGTAAAAATTACAAATGGAAAACAGAAGTTTAATGTTCTTCCGTAAATTTGAATAAGAACTAGCGGTGGAATCTAAAAAAAAAGTGTTTCGTCCTATTAATGGCTCGTTCTCAGCTGGAAGTACCCACCATATTCCAGTATTGGTAATCATATTGAGACTCAAACCCAATACACTTCGCTGCAAAAGTCAATCTTTTATCTACTGAGTTACTGAATTCAGATAGGCACTAGCTTGTAAAATGGATATGAATTTTATTGATAAAGGATTGTATTTTTCAATTGTTAATGTTTAGAATTGCAATTAAATACATGAGTGGGATGCCTCAAAAGTGTTATCCAATGATAAGCTCGATTATTTTTAGTAAACATGGCAAAAAAGAGATTGGTCAGTTACAATCCTTAATATCAACAATGAGAAGATATAAACTCTCACAAATGGAAATTAATTGTGTTTTTCCCCCCTAGTGAATCCTATTTAACAAAGTTTAATCACATAAATTAAATTGAAATGTATGTATAATGAAAACCAAAATAGAAGGATTGAAATATCCAAAGATGACCATAAACAAATACAAACAGAAATGAAAATGGACAAATACACACACACACACAAAGAGAGAGAGAGAGAAAGGGAGAAATCCCAAATTACTCAATGTTCAATATAAACTTTCAAAAGGCGGGAGTGGGGGCTTAATAAAAACGGTGAAATTACATCGATTAAAACCCAATAAATAAATATTAAAAGAAAACCCAATGATA